TAACGAGTCTGTTCATATTATATATTGAGCACAAGGAGAGCGTTACCTTCATGTGATCATGTTCAGATAATTTCTCATCATCGAAAGTCTCCGGAGCCGTTTTGTGGAGTTTTCCCAGCTCAGTTCTACGATCGGTCGGAGGGTTCTCAAGTTTCCTCTGTGGTAATGAAACCGGAAGTGAAGACGAGGTGCTATGTCCATTCTCGCACGTGGTATCGGAGAGCGGAGGGGAGATCTCCTTGAACTTGGAGGAGCCGGCGTTGGGGGAGGATATAAGCTCTGTTTTTTCAGAGTCAGTGTCAGATGAGTGACTGGAGGAATCTTTACGGGTCTTGTCTTTGTGTCCAGAAGTGTACGAGGGAAGGGAGACAGAGGAGAAACCAGCCTGGGCGGTGGGCTCAGGGACGGGGTGGACCACGGGATAGACGCTGGGGCTCTTAGATACAGAGGGAGGAGGAAGAGAAGGAGGAGGAGGAGGAGGAGAAGGTGATGAAGAAAGAGGGGAGGAGGTAGAGACTTCCACCTACAGAAGAGGAATTAGACGGATATTAAAGACAGAAAAACGAGTGGAAATTATGTATTATAGTATTTTTTTGTTGGGAGGTAGCGCTGATCTCAAAAATGCAGATAAATATTACTAACTAAAATATCTAAGTTATATCTATTCAATAATCTCTGTCTGCATGTGACTCTCATATCTCAAGAACTTCTTCTTATCGGCTTCATACATACGATGTAAAAAGTTAAATTCATTTACTCAGTAAAGCCGTTAAAACAGTCCATGCCAGTAGCTGGTGAAATACACAACCTGTGACCCAGAAGGAGGAGAAAGAAGAGCAGGAGAAGGTTTTTGGGACACGGGAAACATGGAGGAGAGGAGGCCGGCTCGCTCCTTTATGCTCCTCTGAGAAAACTCTCTACCGGAGCGATGGTGGGCTTTACTCTGCAGAAACAGCAGGAGGTCAGAGCGAGGACAGGAAACATTCAAAATGAGCTGCAAACGACTTCTGTGATGTCAAATACTGAAGTTCACCTGCCGCGCTGACTCGTCTGACCACTCAGGGGGAGGATCAGCGCTCGACGGAGAGGAAGCAGAAAAATGACAGGGTGCGAGGTCAGGAGAGGTGCGTTCTGGGTAGTAACGCTCGGTGACAGTAGGGCTGGGTGAGCGGGGAGGACTTATTGGACCCCTAGAGAATGAGGGGGAGGGGGAGCGACTGTAGCTGCTCAGAGGGTGAGAGGGTTTGGGGGAGTTCTCCAGCAGGCGGAGGTAGACGGACGGCTGGATGGAGGAGGAGGAGGAGCAGGAGGAAAGAGGAGAATGTGGGTTCATGGTAAAGATATTGTTAAAGATGTACAAACTAATGACTGAGTGAAAGTAAAGCGGGGGGAAGCGTACCTGCCACTTGGGGCGGGTGGGGGGCAGAGGAGGAGGAGGAGGGGTGTCTTTGGGCTTCGCAAATCGTGGGTTTTCCCTCTCCTCCTTTTGTCCCTCATCATCCTCCTCTTCTGAGAGAGGATGCGGAGAGGTGGAAGGAGACAGAGGAGGAGAAGAGGATGGATCAGAGGGGTCTTCATCAGACTGATAAAGGAAAGGAAAGGAATCAGGAAAAGAGGTTTGCAAGAAGAATGATGGAGCAGCTGCATCGTAGCAGATGTGTGTGTAGATTACACAAAGATAAGGGAGAACTTCATTTATACCAAAGGGACAATTTTTTACTAATAGTATTGATCGTAAAGAAGTATTAAAAGTACTGATAAAGTCTAAAAAAGTCATAAAAACTTCAGGTACTGGTTTCTTTAAGTTCTAAATAAATTATTTAATTAATATTAAAGTACTAAAACAAACAACAAATAATTATATTTCAATAGTAAAGTAATTGTAAATAGTTGTTGGCAGACAAAGATCAATATGTGTCACCATGTGTTTCATGTGCTCATTCATCAGACACGTGCAACAGGAAGATCTTCATCTCCGAAACTCTTCTACATCAAACTTAAAAAACCTCCAGTCAGCAAAGAGTCGACTTTTCTTCTCACAACAAACATAAGTTTCTCACGTGAGCTCAGACGGAACGAAGAGAAGATTTAAAAACGGGCGAAACTCCAGCTCTTATCTGAGTCCGAACGTTTGCTTCTGACGTCTGTCACTCACCTTGCTGCGTGTCTGTGCTGTGGAGGAGTTCTCCTCAAACTTGGCGAGCAGCTGAGTGGCCATGGAGCGCACCTTGTTCTCCCGCAGCTCCCCTTCCTCACCAGCAGGTAGCGCACTGTGACAGGACAACTGGTGCCGTGGAAGGGACCCAGAGGGGATTACAGAGGCGTGAGAGGAGCAAAGAGGAGCAGGGAACAGATTCATTAGAAACTCAGGACAACATGTCACTGACTTATATGATCTGTCTCCTGGTCGTCTTACCTCTGTGAGGTAGTTGTTTCCCTTTCGTCGTCTCTTGTTAATAGAATCATCTTCCGCCGTCTTTTCTTCCTGTGACAGTGGATACAACCGTAAAGACAAATCTTCCCTGGTTCAACCGTAGAAAAGCTTCTTGACTTTCATACGTCTGGACAAGGGAGGACGACTGGAATCTAATCATGTGAATCACGCAGGACTGTTCGAAAAAAAAAAAATCGCTCTAATCAGCGCCGGCTACTGCTCGTGATTAGATAACAAACGAGGCCTTCAGCTTTATGTGAGTTCAACCTTCACTTATCACTGTGAATACGAGCACCGGTGATGAATGTGGAGTCAAGAGCTGATGAAGAGTGAGAGAAGAAGAGTTACAGATGATCTTTATATTACCCTGGGTATCCTCTTCCTGTGCAGAGGCAGGCTCAGCAGCTTGTGGTTGGTTTTAGATGAGTAACCTTCACTGTTTTCATCGGATTCTCTTGCACCTGGAAAACAAACACAGTCACACAGGTTTACAACGTGAAACATTTATTTTATGTTGTCACAGAGAGCGGAGACGGAAATCTGCAGAGTCATTGAAAATTAAACCCCTGGAGACAGTTTTGTGGGAACTTGTGGGAAACCAGTTAAAACTGAAATTCAAAATTGGAAAATGAAAAAATAATCAGTTATACAAACCTGTTTGTTTTACATAGTTGTGATTTTATGCTCAAATCAAAAATAGGACATTTAAAAAACTGGGCCACGGACCTCTCACTGGTGTGTTTCATCTGAATTGTATGTATTATTGTATCCCCCCCCCCCTAGAAAGAGCTCTATATATTTAAATACTTTATATTAACATCGGGAGCGAGGCCCTTTCTACGGAGGCAGCCAAACCGGCCAAACTGTAGTAAATCATTGTCCCAGGGTTTCAGAGGTAAGTGTGTGACACAGTGTGTGTTTCTCTGTCTGCAGGACACAAGCATCACAGCACCAGAAGTGGAAGGTGGATGAGGCCGGAGCTCTTTGAGAGGTGGTGGTGGTGGTGTGGTGGTGGTGGTGGTGGTGGTGTGACCGGAGCTGAGGGCCTCCACAGTTCTACAGCTTCCACAGACACATAGCACACATACCAGTCACGTCTCTGGCGGAGACCAACCTGACCACGGTTGTGTAACGTGCAACTGTAGCTCACGTGGTGGATAAAACAGTACACGGACCTCCGCTCCAGCCAATGCAACAAGGAAAACTCAAGCTTCACTGGAATGTAAAGACTTTATTACCCTCGAACTGTCTTCAACCTCGAGACGCCAAGACAGCTTCAACTATTTTGCTCTTTCTGTTGCAGAAGAAGAATGAACGTCCTTGTTTTCACAGATTTCTTTTGGTAACGTATAGTATTACATACTTTTAGTGGTTAGGATGAAACTCTGCCTCCAACAGTGCACGACATAATGTGTCTGACCATCTTTTCTGTCACGCTGGATCCGCTTTACGTACGCGGGACTGACTTGGTAAAATAATCACTTTTCCCTTTTTGTCATGTTGTGAAGTGCCACTGAAGTCTACAGTCATTTTTCGAGGCTGTAGTTCACAGTGGTGTTTGCTTTCTTGTTTCCGCTCGTGTATTTTCTTCATGACTTCACTTATCATACGATGTTTTATTACAGGGAATAGAACAGATGGAAGCTTTCAACTCTCAATCATTTGCAGTAAAATGTGTGTTTTTTCTGATCAGATTTTTGTTCAGCTCCAAAAAGTTAACCCTTCTGGTGATTACTGCCACATCTGTCCATGCATTGTCGAGTCATTTTGTAAATTCATTTTGTTTCAAATCATTATTCTTGATATTCATATATGCTGAAGAGCTTCCACAGATACTGACACTGACCGTTCACCGGTGAGTTCCTGAAGGCCTCGTAGAATTTGGAGAGGTAGAGGACCATTAGCAGCTTGTCTGGCTCCGCCTCCGCAGCCACCTCCTTTCCTGTGGTGACCGGCTGGATGCCGAACTCTCGCTCAGCCAAGTCAAACGCCAACTGGTTGTTCCCAGCGACGTCCTCCTCGTTCAGAGACTCATAGTCGCTGAGATGGAAAGAGAATCAGAGAGAGAGGAGGTGAGGTGAGATTGTGTTTATAGCGCTTCTGTGGAACATCGTGCACATATCTGTGTGCATGTGTTCTTACATGAGCTCGGGCCTCTGGTGGTGTACGAGGGCACAGAGGGCCAGGCCGTCCCTCCAGGAGGAAGTGAGGTTAGTGACGTCGACGCCTCTGTAGCCTTGAGTCTGCTTCTGACACCAAGTGAGCAGGCGGCCAGGACGCACTTCAGACTCTGCAGGAAAGGAACGGCACTTTAGGTCACGACAACAGGGGACAGACTGTGTTAGTTAATGTTAATTCAGCATGTGTGGATTAGACCATTGTTTTCAAACAGGAGGTTGTTATAAGTCAGTGTGTGTTTACAGCTCGTTCTGTTTCTCCTGGAGAACACATCGGATTAACGCAGCTTTAAGTTGTGATTAAACAATGACTTGCCCCTCGGGCCTGTGACGTTGATCAGTCGGAGAGCAGAACAGGTCAGTTCATGTCTGTCAGTGGCGTCATGTTTGGTCCTCGTGTGGGTGTAATGTTATCCAGCTTTATTGTCTTAGCAACGAGGTGTCTCAGCCTGTTGCTGAGTTTCCCTTGAAGAGGATCTGAGGGTGTGGCCATTTACAATGTCAGGTTTTTTTTATTTCTCCAGTGAACTTTATTCAGGAGTTGATCCAAATCCAAACATTTATCTTAATGGGAAATGAACTCAACTACACAGATGACTTTTTCTCAGAGATGGTTTCTGTCATTTTAGTTAGTTCTTATCAAACCGATGTTTGTGAGTGTTTCTGATAAGTTTTGTATTTATTATTATTATTATTATTCAATCACATAAAACAAGGTGAAACATCTGACAGCCAAACTGACTGATTATATTATGGTAAATCATTTCTAATCAACATAAGGTTTAGATTATTCCCAGAAATATCTTGAAAAGAGTTTTTCGGACTGTATCTCTGTTGAACTTGACCTCATTCAAACATTTGGTGAAAATGAGTCAGTGCTTTATTATTTTGTCCACACAGACAAGTGAAAACAATAATAAGGACAAAAGAAACCCCTCTTCCATGAAGTGTTAATGGAGCTGTGGATGAACCTAATCTCACCAGTGACTCACTGGAGGATCAGGTTTCTATGACACCATGACAGAGAGTTATGAAAGCCGAAAACGGTCCCGCCTGAGCAGTTGGCACCGATCCTCACTGTCACTACAGTGGCTATAGATACTTGTTGCCTCTGTCATATGTTCATTATGGAGGTGTGAACACTCCGTGGTTGTAAACACATGAGGATACATGCACGCGGTCCGTCATCGACACACCACTGACTGGATGTCTGAGATCCTAGTTTTAAATTAATATGTTTGCGGTGATTAGTAAAACTGTTTCATCGTCACTGCATCATGACAAACAGAGACGATGATGTGAACGTGTCTATTGGAACCACTGACTGTAAATAAAGACGGTGAATATGAAGCCGAAGCGTCTAAATCGCCCCCTGGTGGCTGTCTGCAGTATGGCTCATAATCCCAGTTTCCTCCATGTTAACAGGTGACAAAAAAAGAGGTGAAACTTTTCTCCTGATTGGTCGAAGGCATGTTCTTGCGGAACCTCGACCTCTGGCTCCAAATGACGTCACCAGAGCAAGACCTTTGAGGAGAAGGGGGTGTGTGGACGAAGAGCGTTCAGTCGGAGTCTCACCTCTTCTGGACAGGTTGACTGAGCGGCGTGTCGGGCCTCCTCTTTCCATCTTATACGAGTCTATTTGTCCATCAATGAACAAGTGACGAACCTAAGAGAAGAAAGAAAGAAGGTTATGAAATGCTCCTGAGAGGGTTTTAAAGTTTACAGAAATTGTTCTATAAGAAAAAGTCCTATTTTCTTCTCCTTATAGAGTATTCAGTAATTTTATTTACAAAAACTGCGATACAAAAACCATTCCTCTCATCAGTATATTTAGTATATAAGTGTTGAACGGACCTGGTGAGGGCGCACACAGCTGGAGTTGAGGTTGGGGTAGCGTGTTGAGGGGTCAATGGCGTATTGTTCAAAGTTTTTGCTGATGTTCTCTGTGGTGGTCTGAGGCAGCAGTCGGTAAATACTCTCCCTGAGGAAGTACAGGACAAACACACCGTAACTGTATCTGTGAGATTCAAGATACTGAAGCTTCACAGTTCAAATACTGAGTCACACTCAAGGCACAAAACACAAACAGGCAGTTTTAATTTCAGTGTATTCACACGTTCCGTGAGTTTATTTGAACTCATGACTACATGAATACTGTTACTATATATTGGTTGGTAATAATGAGGCTATTCATATTCATGTCACATGAAATACCCACACAGATATCGTGGTCTAATTCAATGCTGATGGGAAATTATGATTAAGTTTATAAATAAAACACGAAAGCATGAGCAGACTAAAATAAACTGAGGTTGAGGATTGTCTCATTTTTCTTTTTGTCAAAGTGAAGATGAATCTTCGTTTTTTGGTAGTTTGAGTGTTTCACAGACGTTTCTATCTTTCTCATTTTAATTTACAGAGACAGACAAACAAACAAACCTCTCAGCCAGTATCTCCAGAGGACTCCGTCCCTGTGCCCAGCCCTTCACCATCCAGGCTGTGTCGAAGGCTGCCAGGAAACCCCGAGCACAGCCTGTACCCATCGGCCAGAAGGGCTGCGACCAGAGAACACAAGGTCAGCGTGAATGCACACAAGCTCCTGTCAAACAACCCAACACATTATACACACACACACACATCACCCACTGGTACGTCATTACCTCAAGCAGACTGTCTCCCACCAGTGTGACGAGAAGCTGGTGTCCGTGTTTCTCCCTGATCAAAGCGGCGTTCTCAGACGCGTACATGCTGGTGAAGTCAAACATGGCCACGTCGGGCTGCCCGTAGTGGTTGATGGCGAAGTCGAGGGACGGCAGCTGGTAGTTTGTGCCGAAGTCAGCGGCCTCGCGGGCGTAAGAGTGCAGCGCCTCCTGGTGGACGTTGTCAGGGCTCAGCAGTCGCTCCGTCTCTATGTAGTCCTGTGTAGAGACGAGAGAGAGAGGGAAGCTCACTGACATGTTAAATCAGTGATTCTCAACCTGGGGGGTCATCAGAGCTCTACTGAGAGTTAGTCAGGTTCATATATAGAAGAGTTATTTAAAATATATATGTAGGTTGATATGTTTCACTACATGAGGAACATAATGACAAAACACTGTTAGTCAGTGTGTTGAATCAGTGAGCTATTGTGAGCGAGGAGGTTTCTCACACATGCGTAATGGTTCCGTCAAACCGCTGACAGTGAGATATCACTCATGTAAAATGAGACAGACCACGGAGGGGACAACGAGGCAGGATATCAGCGTGTGTGTTTGTGTGTGTGTGTGTGAATGATGCATAAGTGTTTTCCTGCATGTCCGTCCGTGTGTGTTTATTTCCAGATAACTGTCCAGCAGCTATAATAATAACCTCACTTATAAACTGAATCTCTGTAGAGGACAGGGAGAAACCTCTGACTCATGGTGTGTGTGTGTGTGACATAGAAGAAAGGTGAGAGCATCTAATTAGAGTCTATTTCATTATCATCCCCTGTGGAGAGTCATCACTCACTGCCACAATAAACTGCTCATCAGTCTCATGAACACACACACACACATCGCTGTCTGACACTTTGTGCTGCTGGTTTTTAGAACGCAAAGGTCCGAGTCAGTTGCTCTTTTCTGGAACGTTTCATGCCAACTTAGAAAAATTATGTGATTCCAGATCTTTTGGTGATGAGGCCCGACGCTGGTGTGGATGAGCTGTAAACAACAACACTGATCTTTCCAAAGGAGAATTTTTAAACGTCACGTCCCGCCTCCTGCTGCTCTACAGGCTCCACCCCTTGCCTGAATGTTCCTGTTGTTGTGAACGATTCTGACCCGGACAATCTCCTGCTGCTGCTGCTTTATGTGTGACGGACAAACTGGTTTTATGCACAAGTAAATGAGTGCATTCGAAACTCACATTTAAGATGACCCCTTTTTCCAGCAGACTTTGCTTCTTTGCCGTCATGACAAAGTAGTGAGTGTTGTCTCTGTAGTAAACAATGTTTTCCAAGTCGATTCCTGAAAACATGAGCATGTTCACTTAACAGATGATTAAATCAAAAAAACTGAAAAACAGAAGGCTGTGTACTGTGTCATCTCTTCACCTGTTTCCTCCTTGAGTTCTAGAAAGAACTTCTGGTTAAAGATGAAGGCCACGCCGCTTATTTCCTCCACTTTGGCCTCTGCCGTTGTGTTCCTGTTCACAAAGTTCGCCGTGATGGCAATGGCTAACTTACCTCGGAACTCTTTTCGACGGAAACCTACGACGAAGGGATGAAGAAAACATCATAACAACATAAATCACACACTTACACAGATGAGCACAAACATGTGGAGCATTTATTACAACTGGACAGAAAGCCAACAAAGCTCTCAAATGGTTCTTAAACCCCCACACACATACACACACACACACTCAAAAGCTTCCAGTAAAAACTGTGTCAACAGGAAATACTTCACCCAGTGACCGCGAGCAGCTTTGTAACACTTCACCTCATTTCAAGTAAAAAAAAAAACAAATGGTGCTTTGACTGGAGAGAAAACGTCTAAAAAATGTGGGTCAGTCCCAAACTTGATCTCCTCAGACGCTCTTGAACGGCCACACCTCATTCAACCGCTCAGGTTTGGATTTCTCTTAGTTTATGCATCTTTCTCACCGTCTAATGTGCTTCTGCGTCCGTCGGCTCCGATCACCACGTCGATGTCAAAGTCTGAGACAGGATGGCTGGAAGGCTGAACCTCTGCTCGCCACCCAGGGCCTAGAGATGACAGGGAGGTGGATGATGTGTCACATACATGGCTTGTATAGGATGCTGAATATAACCCTGCCCGATTTATCGATTGGCTTTTCCCAGAAATATACAACTGACTGACTGAGATGAAAACAAGGAAAAACACATTAAAACGCTGACAATGAAATCGATTTTAAAAGCTACAATAACAAATTAAAAGAAGAGAAAAACAAATAGAGGAGAAAAAGTAAATAAAAGAGGAAAACAGACAAGAATAAATATGATAAATATGATCTGGAAACTATTTCTTGTCTCTGACCACATGAAGTTGTGAGTGTTTCTCAGCTGCCACAAAGCAGCTACCTCACGTTCTGTCCTCTGTGGTTGTGTCGTGTTTCCTGGAGCGTTTAAGTGAAAAAGTGTCATGACAACATATAACTGATCCTTATTTCCAGAACATTAAAAAGCTAAATCGTGACTCGATCAACGGCCTCTGTATTTTCAACCGTTCACTATAGATTCTGTCACCAAAAACGTGTCTTCGCTCGACGAACATTTCTGATTACTTGAACATGTGTTGTGAGCAGAGAGCTTTCCATATATAGCTGAAAAATGCCGGAGAGTCAGTGCCACTCATGACCCTTTAGCATTGAGATAATAACACACACACACACACACACACACACACACACACACACACACACACAGGAAGACTCACTGTCATCAGTCTGTTCCGCTGGTGGCTCCAAAAGTTTGACAAACTCCACGTTGACATGAATTTCCACTCCCAGGATCAGACTCACTTTTAGCAGCATCAGCTGGAGCTGACGGATACCTGGAGCAGGACACACACACTTTACATCCAAAATGTCCGTCCAGAGCTCGAGAAACAAGACAGCAACGTTAAATATTGAACCCGGGTTGACTTGTGCCGACTTTACTGAGCATTACAGATCATCATTCAAACGTGTGTTGGAGATGCTGGTGACATTACGTGTTACCAAACTGCATTGTGGTTCTGCAACTTGCACACGTATCTGAGACATTCCTGCTTCATTTCTATACAACAGGAGGAAGATGAGCGGAGATGAGTCGTCCATCTTCATTTACAGTCTATGATCCTGAATAAAATCCTGACAGAACCAGGATGTATCATAATTCTGGTTTTAATAAAGAATAAAAGCCGAAATAAGACTTTTATTCTAAGATCTGGCACAGGGTCAGATTTAATCCAGTTTATAGATAATTATAGTTTATACTATAGCTCAGCAGCTGGTATATTTAGGGAGTTTTTCATCCACCCATTAAGGGACGTTTGCACCTAGATAGAACAGATGGTAACGAGACAGGGCTGTGAGACGTGGAGTCAGCAGAGATATTAATACATGACACCGTTACGCTACTGCAGCTGGAAAGTACTAGGGAGAAACCGACCAAGGCAACAAACTGACTGCTGGGAAATATCCTCTCACAAGGAGTCACGGAGGGGGACCTTTAGTCACTGTGTCTTAGTTAAACCAGAAACACTCACTGATGTGGTCGATGGAGCCGGCGCAGAACTTGCCGTAGAACTTCTTGGCTCCGAGGCCCCTGAGGTCGTGAATAGTGAAGGGCCACAGGTGGAGCACGTTGTTCCGGGAGAAGGTGTCTCTCTTCTCAATCACCACCACCTTACAGCCCAGCAGCGCCAGCTCGATGGCTGTCCGCAGACCACAAGGGCCTCCGCCGATGATCAGACACTGTGCGGGATGAAAAGACGTTTAAATACCTCAGAGCACTGAATTATACATAGTCACTGAACTCACTGTACAATGGGGTTCATGTTTCTGAGACCTACACTAAAGGTACGACAACAACATAAGAGACAGTAATATAATAATGTATAAATCGATAACTAGAATTTAAATTGGAATAAGTTAATACTGAACTTTTGCTGCTTCTGACTTCAAGGAAAAGAAAGGAAACGAGAAAGCGCAGCAGAAATGTTGAGATGATGAGAAATCTTTATCTCAGAGGTCGTGTGTGATCACGGTCAACCTCTCATTTCCTCACCATTTTATAGTTTTGGTGTAAATTAACTGGCACGGTCATCTGGGAAACGTTAGTTAGACAGTTTAGAGCACGAGGCAGTTATGGGACTATGATTTCTGTCATCCCCCCTTCTAACAGAACCAACCACTCAGTAAACAAAACACCCAAATTGCTCATCTCATCGGCCCTAATTTTGATTCCAGATACAGAGAAGCAGAAAGTGGAGCACCCACACAGCTACAGTACCTTCCTCAAATAGACGTTTCTACAGAAAAATGTCTGGGATAATAGTTGAGCTGTTATTTTTGGCCGACCCTCAGCCCAACCCATTTGAGCTAATCTTCCCTCAGCGAGTCTCTGGCTTCATTTCCCGGCGGACCTCTTATCTTTTCCTACAGATATGAGGACATTCCACCACAACGCTGCAACACGCTACTGATGTTTCTGGGACATGGTCAGACAGTACAACAGAGCTCATCATTAAATATGAAATATGATGACATCATGAACTGTGTCTTAGCTCCCGAACTGAGGAGCTCCGGTGTTGCGTCATATTCTGTGTTGCGTGAAAAGTTTAATTCATGAACTGATTCAGGTTATGTGACAGCTGCTTTGGACTAATGAAGTATTTACATATAAATACAGAAATAATCCACTTGTATAAACTTTTTTTTTCTGAACAATCACTGGCTGAGGTCCTAATAACCTCTTTGTTTGTTTTTCAACAGGATTATACAAAAAACTAAAACCCTCACAATATGTTTTGCCTTCTCTCACAGTACTTTCCCTCTTCTATTCCTTCTCGGCCACATGAAGTACAATGTGGCTCGGGCTGCCATTTTCCGTCTGAAACCATCTGAGCCCGAGAGGAAACCGAGCTCGACAAAACTAACTTTCTTACCCTGGTGCCCTGACAGGCCTTGTTGTGGTTGTAGACCTTGTGCTGCGCCCTCTTGTCCAGTTTGGTCCACAGAGCCTTGACCTTCCATGAGCTGACGGCAGCCTTCAGCGAGCTGTAGAAGTTGCTGTAGTCCAGAGGATCCAGCTCCAGCTGCCTGCAGAGGATGCTGAACGCCTGCAGCGTCCCTTTACAGGTGGACGCCTGGACAAAGTTCTCAAAGAGCTGGCTGGCCTGAGCTGTCCGCTCATCCTCTGTCTCGCCCATCTGCTCTGTACAGTAACCAGGGTCCGATCTCCTCTGACACCCGTTCTTCTCTTCCTCTCCGTCTTCCCTCTTCTGTTCACTCCTTCCACACTGTCAGTACCAGACTCCTATGCTTTGTGTGCCTCCATGTTGAACAGGCTCTGAAAGGAACAAATAACAAAGAGGATGTTTAGAAAAGAGACTGGAAATAAAATCTGTCTTTGTAGCTGGTGAATGGTTCTGAAGACCGAGGGTTTGCCTTTAGTGACAAACCCGACGAGAAGCTGTATTTCAGCACGTTAAAGAAAGTGAGCGGGAAAACCCATGGATCCACCTATTTATCCACCCCACTGGATTTAATGAAGTTGAATTTAATCTCATGGAAATCAGTTTACTAGTTTTTGAGTAACGCAGACAAACAGAAAACAATGAACACATAACTTCCTTGGCAGAGGTAACTATCACCAGACTCACAGGTTCAGTATCTTTCAACCCATTGTTAGTTTCTTCTTTGAGTCACTGAACTCTCATTAGCTTCATTTCCAGCACCTGCTGACAGCAAAAGCTCTAATGAGCCCACAGAACAAAAAACCTGCCCGGGACCAGGTGAACGAGAGAGAAGGTTAATGACCAGCCAGCAAACACAGAGCACGAGTTTGTGAGATAAGAAAGACGACTTCAAACAGGTGAATATATGCACATATATTTTATTTACAACTTGCTCTGCTTTTGTACATTTAGTTAGTGCATTTTATTAAAGTATACATGGTAAATAAAATACAAAAAATGTGATAACTACTTGATTAAATATTCAATTCTTTACATCAAACCTTGATTTCTGACCTGTTCCCACTATTTTTGAATCACAGTAACTTCTAACAAACTGATGATTACTGACGGGTAAAAGATTAGAACTGCGATAAAATGATTTATTATCATCAAGTAATTCAAACATTGTTTTCCACTCTCTGAATTTAACTCCAGCTGGAGTTGCAACAGCCATAATGTGCATTAATCTCTGTAAAAACAGTGTGGTGGAAAAATTTGAAATGGTATAAAGGAGAGGTCACATTCCAAATGTGAGGAATGTCTGCAGCTCACACTGGAAATAAACTGCAGAGGTCGACATGTTGCCCCATTTAGCCAGAAGAGTCATGTCCTGCATTCTGCATGAGGTGTGGGACACGCACACGCTGCCTTGACCACACGTCTCTTTGCAGACCTGCACCTCCGTCCAACGACAAACCAACTGAGTTCACCAATTAAGATTCACACACGGTTTTTTTTTCCTCAACAACAAAGATATTTTGCTCCTGCAGCTCCACTGAACGCCTGATGGGATTACGAGTGAGCGTGCTCTCAGAAGGGTTCAGCCGAGCAGTCATGGGAGAAGCTCAAAACGCTGTGGCTGCAGGAATGACGCCAGAACAATCACACGCATGTTTAAGTGAAAAAAAAAATCAAATACAGCAGGTTTACAACAAAGTAGTTCCACAACTTAAACTTAACTTAACACAAGAGGAAGTTAATCAACGTTACTGTGATGATTCTTTACGTCTGTTGTCGTCTAATCTCACTCAACCAGCATCTGATGAAGGTTTTCAAGGGAACATGTGATGTTTTCTTCTATCTTTCCACTTTCCTGTGTTAGATGTTTTTTTGGGAATGCAAAAAAAAAAAATTAAAAGCCCAAAATATGTGATAAACGATTCCTCTCTTCCCCACAGAAAACAATGACGAGTCCCAACGATATTTCCCATTGTCCGACGTTTGCAAATTAGCTGCCTAGTGGCTGTTCTTGTACGGCAACAAACTGTGCGGACACAGCAGGGGATCACTGGATTCACTGCGAGCGAGTAGGGGGTTGATGACTTTTAACAACACGTCTACCCTTCTGTCCACTGAGGGAGAGTAAAGCCAAAGGAGGTATTGTGGGTGAAACTGCCAGCCACCAGGGGGCAATCAAGATGGTTTGGCTTCTTTTTTTTCGAGCTGTCACGTTGTTCATCTTTATTTACAGTCTATGGACGAAGGGCTCACAAATTAGATTTTCACCTTTTCATCTCTGAATATGAAAATACTTTTCCAAACACTGTAAAGACTCTGGAGTTAACGGAAAGTGATACCAAGCATTCCTGGATAGCGACTCTGTTAAAGTCAAGTATCAGGTCCCGATCGCTGGAACCCACTCAGCATCATTCTCACTATTACAGTCATGGAATCTGCTCTTCTGAAGGAGCCAGCAGGAGGATACTGTTTCTGTCACACACACACAAACACACACACATATGCATCTCAGACGCACAGTGTGTTATATAAGGACAACAGTTGATTGGTCTTTTATTGTGTGCCAGTCACATCCTATCACACACACACACACCCACACACACTTTAAGTCTTTGAGTGGCCCAATGGGGGTCTCAGGTCTCTGCTAACTGGCAGCAGGCAGTGGCCTCTCAATTACTATTAGCCCCTACAGACGCATACACACGCAAATAACCCTTAGGTCTTTAGTCCACACAGAGGCAGATGAAAACTTACCGAAGCATTGCTCTTGTTCTCTAGCGGACAACTTAATAAAACCAGACATGGTAACTCAACATGTTCAGAGTGCAACTGGAGTATAACTTTCTCAAAACTGCATCAACGAAGGAAATAGGAATATCTGTGCCACATTATTCATCTTATCAGTCCTCGTCCATATTCCAACAGCAAGAGGAGATGTGATACACCCAGAGACTGACCGGCCTTCTTACTGAGTGTTTGGCTCTGATGACCGGACATGTCCTGTAACTCCCACTGTCCCACTGGGTCAAGAGGAAGATACACAACGCGTGTGTTGGTATACACAGAACGAGAGGAGCTAGAAGTGCATGGGAAAGATCACTACATTTGAAAACTGTACAATATCTAACCACTTCTGAGAGGTCGACTGTTCGAGCAGGAAGTAGTTAACACGGTAGCCGTCTCCATAGACTGTGTGTGTGTGTGTGTGTGTGTGTGGGGGGGGGGGGGGGCAATGATTTAAGAAGACGTCCTTATCAAACCCTGAAGACAAAGAAATGCAGTTGAGTCTTGATGTTTACAGTTTCACCATAAACTTTGTTGTAATTAACTACAAACAAAAAATATAGAACTTGAATTAATTACAAAATTCTTAAAATTCCCTAAAATCCAATTTGATACTAAAACTAACCAGAACAAGGCTTTCAGGTGAGAATGCGTCCTTAAAAACATCCAGATCCTGTATTTTACTGGAGGAACACAACTTAATTTCTGATGAAGTCACCAAGAACTTTTTTACTACTCCCCTTTATTAGACTCCGAGGAGATTCAGGTTTTATTTAAACTGAGAGTCACAGTAATATATACTGTAGGTGGTATCACACTGTAATGTGGAGCAGGTCACAAAGAGAAACTGATTCTTTCTTTGCGTCAGTAGCATCTTTTTAAACTGACAGAATAAAAGCAGGTGAGTAACAGAAGAGCTGTTATGGATTAGTAATATGAAACTGGATTTGCTCTGAGCTCTACAATAATAAACAGAGATCACTGACACTTATCTGTTGCATTCTCCTCTGAGCTCCTCTGGATTTCTATCACCAGTGATAGATAAGGTATTCATAGCCTTGATCTTTATTTGGGTATATTAAACGTTCTATTGATTTTAATATTCCAACATGCATAAAGCTCAGTTCAAGACAGAACAGAAAGATCACGGTGAAAGGTTTCTGTCAGAGGTCACAAGATTTAGTTTGATAAGTTTCAACAAAACAGAAGTGAAGTTGTGCAAAGAAAAAGCCTGTGGATGAAAATGTGTGTGTGAATCCTGAGAGTAGGATGGAAGCTGAGTAAACATGTTCCTGTCCAGACGCACGAGAAGCCAAGAGAGAAAGGAAAAACACCAGAGTGACCAGACCAAATAAAGTGTGCAGACAGACAGACAGACAAGCAGAAGGTCAGGAAGCCTGACATGTGGAAAGAAGTGCTGCAGATTCTTTTGTTATCAAACTTTTAGAATTTGATGTGGCCACAAAGCGAGACGTGCTCTCGCTGCTGCTGCTGAAACCGACGCAGATTAGATCCATCTGCAATGGTTTCTGCCGGAAGTAGGAAATATGAACAGCTGGGATGTCAGAAGTGTCGACCTGCAGCCTCGTTGTCAGGCTACGTTCACACTTTTCATTTTAGAACGGCCTCTTAAAGCAACAACACTCTCTGTCCAGACAAGCATTTGAGATCCATATCAGAAGCATTCTCAGAAAAACACCAAAACAACTGAAAATGCGTAAACGTTTGACCAAGTGCGTCACCACGTACACTGGGCATGAATGTGGCAGTTTCCAAAAAGTCTACGCTCGCCCATCCACACGGAAACGTATCAAACTGTGACAGGATCAGTTTTCAAAACTCTCAACTTAAAGGGTTTGAAAACTTAAAACTAAAACTTAATGTGTGGTTTGAGGAAAACGTGAACAAAGTGAATTCCCCCAATTTTGATTTCACTATTTTCAACCATTTCAAAAAGTTTACATGAAAAAGTTCCACTTGCTTCTTTAGAGTTGCAATAAATACATTTGAAATAATTCGTTCTTTTTTGCACCTATGTCGCTAAAACTGCTCCTTCTGCCACGATGGAACCAATTTACAAGACTTAGATTCTTTCCACAGAAACACTCAGAGACTAAAGAAAACACACACACTGCCATCAGCCTTCACGGAAGAAACTTTAGCGTGAGTATCTATGAACCACATCAGACCGCTCCACGGCAGAAAAACACCACACCCATACTTAACCTCCAGATAAGGGGGTCTGAGAGGGAACAAACTCCCCATCAGACACACATTGTTGTTCCATCAGTGGGAGACAACTGCCGAGTGCAGTCGGTCATTCATAGCATGTATGTGGCTTAGAATGAACTTTGTAAGATAGATTTAAAATGATTAAAAGCAGTGCACTGTGATTCTTTAAAGCCATGGAGGGTTTTCTTGTAAACAAATAAAAATGTTAAATGTTTCATTCTGCACAAAATTTTTTATATTTTTCCAAAATATTTCAAACTTCTCCTCTGATATCCGTCCAGACGAGACCAGAGGGTGGTCAGTAGATTTAAAATAAAATACATGGCCGCTGTACGTCAGCAGCTCTCAGGTTACACTGACGTCCGCAGTCAACGGTATGTAACCTGTCGGGGAGACAACTGAGCCAATGTCTGAGTCCAGTTCTCGCTGGACTAAACGTGTAAACGTCTCATCAGGCCCGAGGAGGACAGCTGCATTTTATGACTTTGGTCACAAACACATGAGGTGACACTGTTTGCAGTTTGGCCTGTGTTGAATAAGTCTACATGTGCACATGTATACAAGTTAATATTACAACCATGTTTTCTTTTATACATTTCAAATAACATTTTAATGAGTCACCACACCTCATACTGTAGAAACCTGTAAAACCAAAACCAAAACTAACTGGGGCAAGACAGAAACTAAACAAATCTCCCTAAATATAGCGAGAAACGGTTCTCACATCGTTTAAAGTATAAAACTACTGCAAAAGAAAACCTTGGTTTAAATATTGGTGAACTTTCAATAAACAGACTCTTCATTTGAATATACAGAATCTGAAGGCCAGGGACAAGGTTCTGTTTCTAGTTTGGACAATCATGTTTGAGGGCTTCGGCTGCACGCAGGTGAACCGTCCATGTGGTGAACAAAATTCTGCTGTCTACACCAGAGGCCCCAAAATACTGGCTGTTGCCCCCAGAGACCACGTCAGACAACAGCCGCTGGGCTCCGAGACTAGTTATCTTATAATGTCATCGAGACCTCCTGAAACATTTTTCCTTCAACAAATAAAAACTAAATGATAATGTGAAAAACAGGACAAATGGATGAGTCTTATTTCAACAACCTGCATCTGCAGAATCACATTGTAGCTCCTGAATTACATTAACCGATTCCTCCTTCACCCAAATATACCCTCAGGAAATCATTTAGTCACTGGACCTGTTGTGCTACTCATTATCGTGGCACGACGGCCAAAGTTACGAGTCTGTCGGTGAATTACTCTCGGTGAAACGGTGCTGATATCAGGAGGAGTAGGGTTAATGTTTCATCATCCGTTTGAATCGCGCTCCAGATGTTCAATGATGAAAGATCACACTGTTGATGTTATCTGATGATGTACCGTCTCCTCTGAAGATAAACCCAGAAAATGAATATCAGGGAACAAGTGAGTGGATCCAGCTGCAGAGTGAGTCACTGCAGGGAACAGCTCAGGTGGCTGCAGTAACGCTGGGTCAGCAGGAACGATTGTATTGGATTAGAGAGAGAAATGCTAAATGGATTTACTGAGGTGACTCAGTGTGTAATACTGTCGAGCAGAGAGACACGGACACCTCACGAGAGACACCAGTAACCAAGGGACAGACACATGTGACCATGGTACAGATACTAATAACAATAGTACAGATACTCATAACCATGGAACAGATACTTGTAAACATGGTACAGACACATGGAACCATAGGACAGGCACCTGGAACCCCAATACAAATACTTGTAACTATGATGCAGACCCCTGTAACCATGGTACAGATACATGTAAACATGGTACAGACACTTGTAACCATGGTACAGATACTTGTAAACATGGTACAGACACATGTAACCATGGTACAGATACTTGTAAACAGTAATCAGCTGCGTTCAGCAGTTTTTGTGTAATCCTGCTAACTAACAAACAAACGGACGAGGGTGAAAACATAATCTCCTTTGTGGAAGTAAAATTAAAAACCATCTCGTCTTTTATCATCAAAAGACAGAAATGAAATAAAAACGAGTGGACAACAATGAACCTGATGCACAGCTGAAGAATTCATCTGCATGCTCAGATCACAATGAAATAAAAACCTATACTGAACACAACGGCAACATTAAATCAAGGAACAGCAGAGTTTTATGACAAAGCCTTTACTGGGGTTAAAGTACAGTCATGTCCTATTTCCAGTTTTACAGAGTCCGTACGTGAACTCCAGTGAAGACTTCAGGGTTAAGAAATGTTCTCATCTTGTCTCAGTGACAAAGCACCGGGAAGAATACGATGGGAGCTGAACATGATGTTGGTCTCATCAGTGAGCTCATACCACTGTTTTTCAAGTCTGACATCACCGAGTTGACAGCAGAGCCACTTTACAATGGTTAATGGTTGAACAGGCTGCCGCAACTTTAAGACCGGAGCCCGAAACTTAACTCGCTGATCTGCGTCCTGGCAAAGCTCAAAAGAAAATAACTTTAGACAATTTCTTCACCTTGGCAGATGGAGTGTTTCAGATTTTTTCTTCTGATATTCAGAGTTGAAAACATGACGACTGGATAAGAGAAGTAAAATCTTAGTGTCGGTGGCAGGAGGGAGAGAGTCTGATTGTGTACAGGTGTACTACGTTTGCTAATTACTCTCTCCCCCCTTTATCAGCAGCTGGGACACGAGGCTCCCACACACAACGAGAAGATGGAGGCAACCCAGAAAAGCCCAGCAGGACAATAGAGAGAGATATATATGCATGTGTATGTGTGTGTGGAGGTGAAATAAAAGAAGTTAACCGAGCACTGACTGGAATCTTCTGTGACGAGGAACCCGCGGTGGCACGAGCTTGCTACAGTGGGCTGATAAAGGGGGGAGAGAGTAATTAGCAAACGCAGTACACCTGTACACAATCAGACTCCTTCTCTCCTGCCACCGACACTCACCACCCCCACAAACAGTAATGGTTATAATACATTTTTCAGGAGTTGAGTTCGTGCATGGGACGAGTCTCTGACAACTTGCTGCTGTTGATTTGCTCGATATGTCTGAATTTTGTTGTGGAAAATGAGATCTACAGACATTTTGTGAGGATTCATGTTTTACGGGAAGAGAGAGGGAAAATAAAAAGAGATCAGAATGAAACAAGAAAGAAAGAAAGTAAAACAATGAAGCTGGAAAAGGGCAGTTGATAAGAAGAAGGAAGAAGGAAAAGGGAAATTAGTGGAGCCCTCCAGACGGGCAGAATTCAAATCAATGGAAATAACTTCGTCAATCTTTCACACACAAACACACAAAGGCTGATGGAAAAACACTTGCTCTCAAATTCAGACCAATACTGAAGAAAATTGCAAACAAAACCTGTCTCCTAAATGAAGTGTGTAATATTTCTATTTTTGTATAAATGTTTACTATTTCTTGACGAACATGAAGTTAGCTCAGATGCTAACTCTACAATAGCTGAGTTTGGAGGTGTTCACAGGCAGATTTTTTTATGCTAATCTTTACTGAAAGCTTTCTGGCTCTAGATTCATATACTGCACAGTGAGCAAGGTATTAATTTGATGTTTTATTGAGTCTTGGCCAAAAGTGAATAAGTAGATTGCCCCAAAATTGTATTATTACTATTATTTTAAAGAACAAAAAATGAGTCGGGACTTTTACAGGCTAGTCTTTACAAGTTACACATATGCTATCAAATCAATTACAATGGCCAGAGGCAGCAGCAAATACAGTTCACAAAGACAAACCTGTTCTTGTGTGAACGAGAAATACAAATACACAAGATCCCATGACGTTCACTGTCAAACAAGGAACTAGGTGAGTAATACACATCTCTTTGAAAAGTGTTTTTGGAGACAACTTTATCTGTCAGGAATTCTACAATTAAATCATCAACATCACAGATCGGACGCCCGAAACTGATTACATCCAAGATTCAACCTAGAAAATACTGCTTAAACATGTGTACCGTGTATAAAGACAGTGTACATACCATTAGGTGAAGACTGATACTTTCTCCAAGTACACACTTTGTTGTTTAACAAATACACAAAGCGCGAAATGGCAGTTCAGTCAGAGTCAGGGTTTGTTTGAAGGCTTTACCCTGTCCTACCTATAGTCTGCTTCTAGATGTCTGTTTTCCTAATAAGGACATGGTCTTAATTCTCACCCTTGTTACAAAGGTTGTGACAAACCACAGCGTCCAAACATCTGACAAACACCAACAAATCCAATATGACTGTAAGAGGAAAGTTTAAAGCCTAAACTGCAGCCGCGTCATCAATCTTCTTAATATGAACCTAGAGACAAGGGAGAGCTGTATCAGCCCCTTCTGAAAATGTAAGACATTACTCTACATTATGTGGTCCAACATGTGATCCAGCCACTGTCTCCTT